TGTTCTGGTGACACCCAACCATAAAATTATTTTTGTTGCTACTTCATAACTGTAATTTTGCTACTGTTATGTCTTAGGCGACCCCTATGAAAGGGTTGTTCAACCCCCAAAGGGGTCGTGACCCACAGGTTGAGAACCGCTGTATTAGAGGGTATATATTTAACTTTAGTAATTAAGTAGTTTTCCAAAGTGGCTGTACAGATTTACAGCCCCACCAGTAGTGTTCGAGTATTCCCAGTGGTTCTTACCTTGCCAATACATGGTACGACCAGTCTTTTTTTTTTTTTTTTTATCCTCACCCGAGGATATTTTTCCATTTTTTGTACAGATAGAGTGGGAGGGAGAGAGAGTAAGAGAGAGAGAGAGAAACATCGACGTTAAAGGGACACATCGAGTGGCTGCCACCCGCACGACCAACCAGGGCCGGGGACAAACTGCAACCGAAGTACGTGCCCTTAGCGGGAACCGAACCCGGGTCTCTACGGACTGTAGGCTGACGCTCTAACCGCTGAGCCAAACTGGCCAGGGCCAACCAGTCTTTTTTTATTTTAACAATTTTGTGAATGTGCGGTGGTAGGTTGTGATTTTAATTGCATTGTCCTCATTACTAATGAGGTGGGGTACTTTTACCTATTTGTTTGGGGGTTAGGGTTGGCACTTGGACATCCTCTTTTGGGAGATGCCCAGTCATGTCTTGCATGTTTTCTGACTGGGTTGTCTTTATTATTATTATTTTTTTTAATCCACACCCGAGGACATTTTTGTATCTATCTTGAGACAGAGCGGGAGGGAGAGAGGGAGGAAGAGAGAGAAACATTGCTATGAGAGAGACACATCAAGTGGTTGCCACCCACACGACCCCAACAGGGGCTGGGGACAAACTGCAATCAAGGTACATGCCCTTAGCGAGAACCAAACCCAGGACTCTCTGGTCCACAGGCTGACACTCTAACCGCTAAGCCAAACCGGACAGGGCTGGGTTTTCCTTTTTTGTTAATTTTTAAGAATTCCTTGCATACTCTGGATAAAATCTCTTCATCAACTAATATGCTCCCTTTCTACACTTTGCCTTTCATTCTCTTAATATATAGTTTTGTTTTTAATTTACTATAGACCAATTAATCAATCTTTTCTTTTATAGTTAATGCTTTGTGTGTCCTGTTTAAGAAATCTTCACCAACCCCATCTCTTGGAGTATTTCTTTGACTATATATTCTAGGAGATTCTAGATTTGTGTATGTAGTGAAATAAGAGGCAGTTTCATTTTCCCCAGCAACATCTACTGAAAAGACCATCTCTTCCTCAGTACTCTGCAGTGCTGAGCATGTGGTTTGGGCTTCGTATACATCATGAATAAATGTTAAATTTTATCATATTTCTCTTCTGCATCTATTAAGGTGATTGATTATGATTTTTCTATTAATGTGGTGATTATATAGATTAATTTTTAAGAGTTAAACCAACTTTGCATTCATAGATTAAACCCAGCTTATTAATAATGTATAATTCCTATATATTGCTAAATTACATTTACTAATATCTTATTTACAATATCTGTATCCTAATATTTATTTTTTACAGCCCTGCTCATGAGGTACATTGGCCTGTAATTTTCCCTCCTTTAATGTCCTTTTCAGGTTTTGATATCAAGGTTATAAAACAAACTGGGAAATAGTCCCTCTTTTTCTATTCTCTGAAAGAGTATTATTTCTTCTTTTAGGACTGAAGTTATTTTTGCTGCTGTTGTTCTTGCTATTCTTTTTTGCTTTGTGGATGGGGAAGATTTTTCAACTATGAATTCAAAAGACATTAATATCCACTAATTTTAAGATCTCAATACAAAAGTATTCAGATTTTACCAAAAGTTGTATTGTTTTGGTAAGTTGTGTTGTTACAGGAATATGCTCACGTTGTTTAAATGTTCAAGTTTGTTGGCATTAAGTTGTTCATAGTATCTTTTTTATTATGTTTTAACTGTTCCCAGGGTCTGTAGTGATTTTAATCAGAATGAGATCAGAATAGTTAGGGGTTCTTTTTTATGTGCCCTGACCAGGGATCAAACCCACAGCCTTGGCATATTGGGACGATGCTCTAACCAAATGAGCAACCTGGCCAAGGCCAGGTCAGAATTGTTTCATGATCTTTTTCTTGATGAGTCAAATTAAATTCAGATCCTTTATCCATTATTTGTGATACTTGCCTTATTTAGCTGTATTATTATTAATTTATTTTGGATACAAGTCTCTTATCAGAAATATGATTTTCTAATATTTACTCCCATTCTGTGGGTTGTCTTTCTCACTTTCTTGATAGTGCCCTTTGAAGACCAAAAGTTTTTAATTTGCATAAAATCCAATTTATCTATTTTTTTCTTCTGTTGCTGTGCTTTTGTTGTTACATCTAAACAACCACTGCTAAATCCGAGGTCACAAAGATATACCCGTGTTTCCTTCTCGGGGCCCTATGGTTCTACCTCTTACCCCTTGGCCTTGAACCCATGTTGAGCTAATGTTTAGATACAGCTTGAGGAAGGAGGCCTACTTCATTCTTTTATAAGTGGCTGTCCAGTTGTCCCAGCACCATTTGTTGTCCCTTCCTCACTGAGTGGTTTTAGCATATATATATGTACACACACACACATATACACACACATATATATATGGTATAACATATATATACATATATATATGTTAAATGGTATTGCAATTCCCTATTCTATTTTCTTCCCTTAGATCCACGTTCTTTTATTATATGTTTATTGATTGCTCCAAATATTATCACACACACCACTGCCTTAATAATTTACTGCTTTTACCATTTCATGGACAAAGCAAGAATGACCGAACACATTCATTCCGTTTCTATGTGCCATTGTTGCAATTTATTTTAATTATATATAGCATACATATTTTTAACCCCACAAGAAAGCAATTTACAATCCCACAAGACATTAGACTATAATTATTTAGATTTATCTATGTACTTACCTTTTGTATTGTTCTGCATTTCTTCCAGCATGTACAACTTTCTGTATGAGATGATGTTCCTTCTATTTAAACAATAATCTTTAGTATGTCCTTTATTGTGTCTGCTGGTGACAAACTCGCAGATTTTGTTTGTCTGAGAATGTCTTTATTTCAGTTTATTTTAAAAGATCTTTCTGTTGAGTATAAATATCTAGCCTGGAGGTTTCTTTCAGCACTATGTAGATATTATTTAATAGTCTCTTGGCTTCAGTTGTTTCTGTTGAAAAGTTACCTTTTAGTTTTATTGTTATTTCATTAAGAATAGTATGTGTCATGTCCCTGCTTGCTTTGAACATTGTTCTTTGTCTTTGAGCAATTATGCTATAATGTGCCTTGTATATTTTCTGTATATTTATTCTTACTGGAATTCATAGGGCTTCTTAAGTCTATGGCTTAATTTATTACATCCATTTTTTAAAAAATTCCTAGCTTGAATTTCAAGTACTGTTTCTTCCCAATTCCTCATCTCTCTTCCTGAATTTCCAATCACAACATACATGAGATCACTGGATCTCTGAGTCTCATGTGTGTTTTATGCTCTGTTCCCTATTATTCACATTTTGTCTTCCCCTGCTTCAGTCTGGGTATTTTCTTCTGGCTTATCATTTCATTTATTCTTTCTTTAGCTCTCTCTAATCTATTTAATCTATCAATTTCTTAATTTCACATATTGCATTTTTCAGTTCTAGGATTTTCTTTTGACTTCTTAAAAATTATTGTTTCCAATTCTCTGCTGAAATTCTACAACTTGGCATTTAGTCTTGTCAGCACATTAATCATAGTTATTTTGAGGTCCACATCTAATATCTCCAGAATTGGACCCTTGTGGGCTTGCTTCTATTATAGTGTCTTTTCCCTTTATTTCAGCTATATCTTTTCTTCTTGTTTGTCTCGGCTTTTTATTTTTAATTTAATGCAAGATATTTAGGAGATAATATGAAATCTAGGGTGATGTTATTTTCTGCCAGAGAGAATTGACTTTTTTTTTTGATGGTATGTGCCCCTAGTGGGAACCAAACCTGGGACTCTTTGGTCTTCAGGCCAACGCTCAACCGCTGAGCCAAACTGCCCAGGGTGAGAATTTACTTTTGCTTCTGGTAGGAAGCTAAATCTGAGCACTAGCAATCCCAGGTTCTTTAATCCAACTGCTAATCGAGATGATTCACCTTTGGGCTTCAATTCATTGGAGAACTGATCCCTATGCAGGTTGTGCTTCTTTTGTGCTCCAAATGAAATGCTGGGTATTTACCAACCTACCTTTCTGGGTCAAGCCCTGAATTCTTTTTCTCTCCCCAGCCCTGTGAATCTGTCAAAAGTTTTTCTTAGTTTTCAGCCTCACTGAGCCTATAATAAAATGTTATTTTTAGTTCTAGCATGATCCAATGGAAAACTTTTTAAAAATAAGAAGCCTGAGGGGACTTATCTTCTAGTCCTAGATATTATCTTTGTTTCTTAAGCACTCCTATGATCATGTTATTTATTAAAGGATGATCATTTCTACCACCACTTTAATTATTGTTTGAACCTAAAATTAAATAGTGGCTAAATGTTAAGCAATATGCCAAAGTGCCAATATCTTCATTAATTTTAACTGTAGTTGTTTAACCAATATTAGGCAATAATAATAGACTGATATAGTATGAATTAGTGAGGGTTTTAAGAGTATAGTTCATACAGAGTTTTTATATTAAAAATATAAAATTCAAACATTTTTAATATTTCTGAATCACTTTAATTTATTTTTTATTTTTATTTATTGATTTCAGAGACAGAGAGGAAGGGAGAGAAAGAAACATCAATTTTGTTGTTTCACCTCTCCATGCATTCATTGGTTGTCTCTTGAATGTGCCCTGACCGGGGACCAACATGCAACCTTGGTGTATCAGGATGATGTTCCAACCAACGGAGGTACCCAGCCAGGGCTCTAAATCTTGTAAAACATTAATAATCAAACAAATAAATATTAGTACTTACTTTTACATCCCATATTTATGAAAAGGTTCTTCAGGTCAGGATGCTTAGCTTGTGATTGTACTCCACACACAAATATTTTTGAGTTATTATTATTTGTTAAGATTGACATATGGGCAACTGTGTACCATGAACCTGTATTGACCATTAAGATATCATCATCCATATTTAATAAAGCCTTTACAGAATGGACAGCAAGACTTCGAGATTTGTCCTGTAAGATACGGTATGATTAAAATTACAAAGAGTTTACTAGAAGCATGACTTTTTTTTTGCCCTAGGTAAAAGAAAGAACTTGGTGGTAATCTTGAAGAGATACCTAAACTATTTTATTTTAAAACATCTTATATGTTAAAATACAAAATTAACAAAGGTAACAGATATAAACTGATTTAAAACAAAGAGCTTTGTTTAGCTTAAATTATGACTGTTATCATTTAACTTTTATGTAGTGATTAGGTAATACCCAAATCCCCAAAATGTGATTAATAGTGATGTCATGTCTTAGCTCCCCTTCTTATCCATTCATGAAAACCCATTCATCTGTTACTGCCATTCTTTCTTTCCTTTTTTTTTTTTTTAATGTATTGCTTGATTTGAGACAGAAAGGAAAGAAAGAGAGAAACATGGATTTGTTGTTCCACTTATTTATGCATTAATTGGTTGATTCCTGTATGTGCCCTGAGATGGGATCAAACCAGCAACCTTGGTGTATCAGGACAATGCTCTAACCTACTGAGCTACCTGGTCAGGGTTACTGCCATTCTTTCTTACCCAGTAGATTGTAATTTAAATTGCTGCTGATTTACAGAGATTAAAAGATGGCTGACAAGCATGTAAGAGGGGGTTAGACAGACTGGGATTCTGCAGCTGATCCAGTGCTCCATAGGGTGTCACTCTGATATAAGGCCAAAAGATTCTGCCCAAGAATAGCGTGCAGTGAAGGGATAAAACTTAACAGACCCAGGTGAATCTAAGGTAAAAATTGGAGTCTAAGGACATAATTAATTAAATTCATTTAGCCCAGCCAGTGTGGCTTAGTTAGTTGAGCATCGTCCCGTGCATCAAGAGGTCACAGGTTTGATTTCCTGGTCAGGGCACATGCCCTGGGTTTCGGGCTCGATCCCTAGTAGAGGGCATGCAGGAGGCAGCTGATCTATGTTTCTCTCTCACAGATGTTTCTATCGCTCTCTCCCTCTCCCTTCCCCTCTCTCTCTCTAAAAAATCAATAAAACATATATTTTTTTTAAATTATTTTAACTTAACATTTTGGACCTTTTATTTTTCATTTCATGGAAACCTCATTCTATCTAACACTCTTTGCCTACATTGGTAGGTGCATTATACATGGCTTACAAATCAAAGCCATAGACTGTATTAAAGAGACAACGGGAAGTATTACACATTGCATTTTTCAAATACAGTATGGCACTAGCACCTTCTGCAGAAATGTAAGGAAGAAAAGGCATCATTGTACCTTCTCTTGAATCTTCCCCTAGGAGAGAAAAATATAACTGCCAGCAATAAAGTCTCCCCATCTATGGAGTCTGGGGAGAAGAATATGTTCTTTAGAACTTCACACGGGACAAAAATGCCAAAGTATGATAGGAACACTGATTATAGAGGTATTAATTTTATTCTAGGTGAAAATTAGACCTTATAAACCTCTCTGATAATCTATAAAATATATAATCAGTCTGTTAGGTTTTATTTTTAAGTGGAGGAATTCTTTGGGTAAGTAGGATCATTGAGAATCACAATGAATATAAATGTTAATTTACCTGAAATATCAGTTTATACTCTTTGAAGAGATCTATATTTAGAAGATCACTTTTAAGATGAGATGGAAAAATTAAGACATCATAGCAATGCTGGTCCACAGCAAAGGCTTTACCACTGATGTGCAATGCAGATTTGACTTTACTGTAGCCTTTTTTCTTCAAACTATGATAAACTTCTTCAGGGCTGTAAATACACATTTAGGTTGTAACTACAAATATAACACATTAAAAATGTATTGAACACTAGCATCTTTTCCTACAATAAAAAATACCACTCCATATATTACATCTAATGGAACTTATAATTTTAGGCAACAATAAGTTAAAACACAGAGAAAGAAAAGTTAACATATTTATGTGATTATCTTTGGTAATTTAGTGATAAGATTCTGAACTAAACTGTGATTCTCTATTTCTTCAGATGTGCCCCTCCCTATTTAAAAGGTACTACTTCTCATCACATTATTTTGAAAGGTTAGCCACTTAATTCATAGCCACTATGAATTAAGAATTTGATTAAAACTCTTACCTGATTTTACAAGTATTTATCCAAGCATACAGTGGCAAAGTGGAGGCCCTTAGTTCCTGGTTCCTAACTGTTTCTGGAAGAATGTGGTAAATTGAAAGGGCATCATGTTTGATTCGACATCTTGCCAATGACGCAGCCAATTTTGTCTTAAAACTAGAGATAGATAATCCATTCTTGGTGATTATTGCATTGAAGATAAGACTATCAATTTTCCACTAGAAACATTAACAAATTATATTTCAAATTTTAACATTACCCAAGGATATTTCAAATTCTATTTCAAATTTTTGTAGTTTAAAATAAAAATTTTCCATATTTGAAAACAGAAATCCAATAACCCTGCTTCCTCTTTTAGTCTTTGCTGCTCCTGGTAATTGTGCATCCGCTCAGACACCTGTATCAATTGCCAGCTGAGACACAAATCTGACGTGGTGAAAGAGGTGTAGGATTTGAGTCAGACAAATCTAAAGTTAAATTCAGGTCTGTCACTTACTAGCTGTGTGACCTCAAGATGGCAACAGTGTAGTCTTTTTTTTTTTTTTTAAGAGAGAGAGAAAATAGAGGGAGAGAAAAAAGAAATAGATTTTGTTGTTCTACTTATTTATTTATGCATTCATTAGTTGTTTCTTTTATGTGCCTTGACCTGGGATTGAATACACAACCTTGGCATATGGGGCTGATGCTCTAACCAACTAAACTACCCAGCCAGGGCTGCAGTGCAGTCTTGATAAGATTAAAGGCTTGAATAAATGTGTATCAGGTCCTTCCCAGTTCTGATTATCCCATGCCTCAAAGTTCCAAGCAACAGAAAAGAAAAACAAGAATTGGTTAGCATGACTATGAAGGCCCAATCATTTTTCTTGATCTCATGGCCCCAATTTTTAATGAATGAGAATACAGGACTTACTTTTGACCCATATTCTTATCATTTTCACAGTAGGAATCTAACTGAATAAAAAACCTCAAGGATAACCTTGAATGAGGAATGGAGAAAAGAATCCACAAAAGAGTCAAGTACAACCAGGGTGATGAGTGTGGCTGCCGGAAACTTAATAAAATTAAGCTTATTATCTACTCAATAGAGTGAGAACTTTCCACATGAGAATGTGTTCATGTGTGCATATGTGTACATGAGGGAGTTGGGGAGGAAGAGAGAGAGAATGAAGACAAGGCACTTGGAGTGGAGAGGGAAGGCTTACCAAACACTCAGTCTCCTAGGGCTACAATAAAATTACATTGTGTAGTACTATGTCCTAATGTCACAGAACTATAGCAAAGGATACTAAAAACAATTACATTATACATTAATGCACATAAAAGAATACATTAATACAAAGGGGTTCCATATTATACACTGTGAAATGTTTCTGAGTACAGACTTATTTTATTAAACAGTCTTTCCAAATACTTCATAGTTCAAATTTACCATAATAAATGTATTGAATTATTTAATCATGATATGTAAAAGTAGAGATATGAAGCCTAGAAAAATATATATGTTGTGTCTATGAGGTAAGTACAGGGAGAAATAATTTTCCAAATTTCCAGTTAACAAACATTTTGGGCTGTGAATTTTAATATAATTTAATCACACAAAATGTAATTTAAAGTATATATACAGTTAAAGATTTTATATAAATATATAATATCAGATTGAAGACAAAGACCAAATCTAAATGCTATTAGGATAATCAAACATATTATCTGTAAATGAAATACTCTGTGGCTACTGAAAAAAACTTCTTCCATAACTGTAAGGCAGAGTGTAATGATGATAATGGAAACAAAGCCCTGGCCAGTTTGGCTCAGCGGCTGGAGTGTCAGCCTGCGGACCAGGGAGTCCCGGGTTAGATTCCAGCCAAGGGCACGTGCCTCGGTTGTGGTTCATCCCCGGCTCTGGTTGGGGTCACGCGGGTGGCAGCCAATCGATGTGTCTCCCTTACATGGATGTTTCTCTCTTTCTCTCCCCCCCCCCCCACTATGTCTGAAGATAAATGTAAAAATATCCTTGGATGAGGATTAAAAAAAAGAAGAAGAAAATGGAAGCAAAAATAGCCTTTCCCAACATTCTTGATCCAGTAGTCCATCTCCTGCTACTATTTGAATGTCATCACGGAAAACTACTCAGTCATCTCTTTGTACCAGCATCCCCATTGTACATACAGCCAGAGCTTTCTTTCTATATGTTAAATTGTAGGTATGTAATTCTAAGCTTACTTCTCCATCCCACAATTTCTCATGGCTACAGCTGCTGTGAGGTATGACTATGTCCTATCTTTAATTCAGAGTACTGCAGCCAAGCCTCACTATCCTAAGAGTAAGTAGTGGCAGCATATAAACGTTTAAAGATTGGGCTCTGGAGTCAGCCTTCCTGAAATTTGAATTCTGTCTACTCCCCTTTCTAGGTCTATGACATTAGATAGGTTCCTTTAACCTCTCTCTGCCTCCATTTTCCCATGTGTAAAAATACAGGTTGGTAACAGTATCCACCTCATAAGGTCACTATGTAGAGAGTTTCTTATAACAGTAATTGATACATATTAAGTGCTCAATAAATGTAAGCCATTAATATTATTCTATCACCCTGGCTGGTTTGGCTCAGCAGTTAGAGTGTCGGTCTGCGGTCTGGAGAGACCAGGGCTCGGTTCCCGCTAAGGGCATGTACCTCGGTTGCAGTTTGTCCCCAGCCCTGGTAGGGGTGTGCGTGAGGCAGCCACTCGATGTATCCCTTTCACGTCGATGTTTCTCTCTCTCTCTCTCTCTCCCTCCCACTTTATCTGAACAAAATATGGAAAAATGTCCTCGAGTGAGGATGAAAAAAAAATATATATATATATATGTGTGTGTGTGTGTGTGTGTGTGTGTGTATATATATATATATATATATATATATATATATATATAATTCTATCATCTGAGTCTCTGGTCTCTGCCTTCAATAATGTAAATGAAACTGCTTGAATTTCCAATAATAATATAAAATCAGATATCATACTGACAACTGTTTCAAATTATTCATTAGGTAAAAATCTTCCTTCCAAGATTATTGTTGTTGATAAATTGTACTTTCTATTAAAGTTCAACAGCATAATAACAAAAGCCCTAACAATAGTAGCACTTAGCATTTATTGACCATATTGACCATTTACTATATGTCTGGCTGTAATTTTACATGCATTAGTTTAATTAGTTCTCCCCCCCACCTTTTTTTTTTTTTAATTATCTCCATAGTAGGTTTCTGCTAATATTTAGAATAAAAAGAGAAACAAAATTAAAGCATGTTTGTTCTCAACTAAAAAAATATATATTTTTTTCAATTTGTCAAAGCAGTGGGTTCTTGTCTACTGTTGAAATTTTTATTTGATACGTTAGATTTTTTTATTATTTTTTCTTTATTGATTTTAGAGAGAGGAAGAGAGAGGGAGAGAGAGAAACATCGATGAGAGAGAACATTGATTGGCCGCCTCCTGCATGCCTCCCACTGGGGATTTGGCCCACAACCTGGGCATGTGCCCTGACCAGGAATCAAAGCTGCAACCTCTTGGTGCATGAGTGGACGCTCAGCCACTGAGCCACACAGGCTGGGCCATTAGATTTTTTTTTAAAAGCTATAAACAAAGCTAAGCAAATAAATAATTATTTCGAATAAAGTTTAATTTATGTGCAAAAATTATTAGGAATTTTTAATAATTTTCCAAATAAAAGTTGAATCTTAGAGTTCAAGCTTTCAAAAACAATTTGATTTTAAACAGAATATTTAACCTCTTCAGTAGTTTATTTTTTAAAATTTTTATTGATTTGTAGAGAGAGAAAAACATCGATGTGAGAGCTAAACATCAATCACTGCTTCCTGCACAACCCCTACCAGGGATCAAGCCTGAAACCCAGGCATGAGCCTTGACTGGGAATCAAACCAGCGACCCTTCGGTGCATAGGACCACACCCAACCATCTGAGCCACATGAGCCACACCAGCCAGGCCTTTAATTGATACTGTTGTTAAAGAAACAGGAAATTTCTGAACTTTTATATTTTTTTCTATAAAGTGTTTTTTCTAACACTTTTACATTATACTGTACAGAATTTTGCCAATGAAAACACTAATAATGATTTCATAGAAAACATCCTTTTTACTTTTACAATTACCTGTTAAGAAGGTTCTCTACTTCTTCAACTTCCGCTATGGACTCTTCATTATCAGAAAGGAGACGAGCTTGAAATTTTCTATCTTGGAAATCATATAGCATCACAATAATTAGACTGCTCAAATGATCTGGCTACCAAGGGGAAACACACATAAGGAAAGGTATATAAACAATAAATAATAGCAATGTTTTCCATTCCATTATTTTTCATAAGAGAGAAGGTATATGGCTATATTTACAGAGCCTGGTTGGATTGGCAGATAAAGACTTCAAAATAGAAAAAAAAAGAATCTAGTAAAAAATAAATCTTTCAAAGAAGACATTTTGGTATGTTCAGCACAATGAAAGGACTAAGGTCAGTATTAGAAGCATTAGAAGTAGAAAAGAGTTAAGAATATTCTTTGGCCCTGGCCAGTTTGGCTCAGCGGTTAGAGCGTCGGCCTGCGGTCCAGAGAGGCCTGGGTTCCCGCTAAGGGCACGTACCTCGGTTGCAGTTTGTCCCCGGCCCTGGTTGGTCGTGCGGGTGGCAGCCACTCGATGTGTCTCTTTCAGGTCGAGGTTTTTCTCTCTCTCTCTCTTCCTCCCACTCAATCTGAACAAAAAATGGAAAAATGTCCTCGAATGAGGATTAAAAAAAAAAAAAGAATATTTTTTGAAGAGGTTTCAGCATTTAGCAAGCTAGTTATGACTTAAACCTGAAGGCTTTTCAGTACTATCTAAATAACAATCATGAGAGCTAATTATATAAAAGTTGTCTACTTACTATTGTAGTACTTGGAAAGATACAGCTATCTATTAATAGAGTTTCCAAAATATCTTGATCTACAAGACAAGGAAAATGTCTGTTACTGAATACACCAAAGCTGAAAATGAAAACTTTGGAATTAAAATACACTTTAGACTTCCGGTCAAGATGGCGGGTAGGTAAACGCGGTATCGCGTCCTCCCACAACCACGTCAAAGTTACAACTACACTACAGAACAACCATCATTCGAAACCTCCTGAAATCAAGCTGAATGGAAGTCCTACAACTACGGAATTAAAGCAGCAGCCACATCCAGACTGGTAGGAGGGGCGGAGGGGACGTGCTGGTCCCACACCCACGTGTGGCGGATAAAAATCAGGAGGACACCTTGGCTGGGAAGGTCCTCCCTGAGGACTGAGGGGTCCCCGTCCCACACCAGGAGCCCTGCTCAGGGTTCCAGTGCCAGGAAGAGAATCCCTATAACTTCTGGCTGGAAAAACCAGCGGGAACTGAGGCTCAGGGAGGCTGAGGCATCTGGAGTCCCAGGCAGCTCCTTAAAGGGCCCGCGCACGGACTTATCGGACTCTCTCCCTCTAAGCTTGGAGGGGAGGCAGCTCGAGGGGCACCAGAGACATACAGGGAAGAACTGAGCTGTTTGGCACTGGAGCGAGGGCTGGAGAGGGGGCTTTCTCCGGGAAAAACGTGCTGTCAGAGGCCTTTGTTCCTTTGGTGAGCCCTTCCCTGGGGCAGCAGATGGTCACCATATCTGGGACTCCAGCAACCTGGCTCACACTGGTAGCCCCGCCCTGGTGATTCCCTGAGGCCCCGCCCCGCCCCACACAACCTTCAGGTCCACCCAAGCTGTTGCCACTTGCTTAACCATAGGATTGGCCTGTCTTGGATCCTGCTTCAGGTTTTTCCTAAATTCTTTCAAATAAGCAGCATCTGGTCTCAGCTAGCCCCATACCGCTCATTAAGTAATACACGGAAACCAACATGGGGAGGCAGCCAAAATGAGAAGACAAAGAAACAGGTCCCAAATGAAAGAACAGAACAAAACCCCAAGAAAAGAGCTAAGCGAAATGGAGATAAGCAACCTAACAGATGCTGAGTTCAAAATACTGCTTATAAGGATGCTCAATGAACTCAGTGAGAACCTCAGTGAACTTAATGAGGGCCTCAAGAGCATAAAAAAGGACCAGTCAGAAATGATGGATGCACAGTCAGAAATGAAGGAGGCATTAACTGAAATAAAGAATAATTTACACAGATTCAATAGTAGAGTACGTAAATCCAAGAAGCAAACCATCGATTTGGAATATAAGGAAGCAAAAAACGCCCAATCAGAACAGCAAAAAGAAAAAAGAATTTAAAAAAATGAGGATAGTGTAAGGAGCCTCTGGGACAACTTCAAGCGTGCCAACATTCGCATCTTGGGGGTGCCAGAAGGAGAAGAGCGAGAACACGAAATCGAAAACCTATTTGAAACAATAATGGCAGAAAACTTTCCTTACTTGGTGAAGGAAACAGACATACAAGTCCAGGAAGCACAGAGAGTCCCAAACAAGGTGAACCCCAAGAGGCCCACACCAAGACACATCATCATCAAAATGCAAAAGGTTCAAGACAGAGAGAATCTTAAAAGCAGCAAGAGAAAGGCAGCTAGTCACCTACAAGGGAGTTCCCATTAGGCTATCAGCTGATTTCTCAAAAGAAACTTTGCAGACCAGAAGGGAGTGGCAAGAAATATTCAAAATTATGAAAAGCAAGAACCTACAACCAAGATTACTCTATCCTGCAAAGCTGTCATTTAGAATCGATGGCCATATAAAGACTTTCCCAGACAAGAAAAAGTTAAAGGAGTTCATCACCACCAAACCGTTATATGAAATGATGAAGGGTCTTTTTGAAGAAAAAGATAAAATATATGAACAAACAAAACGGCAATGAATACATATCTATCAACAATGGAATCTATAAACAAAATGAACAGGCAGAACAGAAACATTCTCATAGATAAAGAGAACATTTTGTTGGTTGCCAGATGGGAGGGGGTTGGGGGAATGGGTGAAAAAGATGAAGGGATTAAGAAGTACAAATTCATTGCTAGACTGACAAACCTCAAAGGGAAAGGAGTTGGGGGGTGGGAAGAAATAAACCAAAGAACTTATATGCATAACCAATGGACACAGACAATAGTGTGGGAAAAGGCGGGAGGGGGGCAGGAGTGGGGAGAAGGGGGTCAATGGGGGAAAAATGAGGAACATCTGTAATACATCCACATTCAACAATAAAGATTTAAAAAAATAAAATACACTTTAGACAATGTCATTAAATACATTTACTTTTGTATCTAAAATATACGTTGATTCTTTTTTTATTTTTTTCCTTACCCGAGGACATTTTTGCATTTATCTTGAAATAGAGCAGGAGGGAGAAAGGGAGGAAGAGAGAGAGAGAGAAACATCGACGTGAGAGAGACATCAAGTGGTTGCCACCCACACGACCCCAACTGGGGCTGGGGACAAACTGCAATCGAGGTACCTGCCCTTAGCGGGAACCAAACCCGGGCCTCTCTGGTTTGCGGGCCAATGCTCTAACTGCTGAGCAAAACCAGCCAGGGCTGTATCTTGATTCTTAATAAAGATTTAAATTACAATGACATGATGAGATATTTGCAATTTTTATGAATCTGGACCCAAATGACCCAGGCTCCACATGGAATCATAGTCAAAGGCACAATATCCGAATAGTGAAAGTAGTAATAAATTCCAACCTTAACTATGTCTTTTGAAAAACATTCAAGAAGATCTCATTCATAATCTCTTATATTTTTATGTATGCTGGATTCAATTTGCTAATATTTTATTTAGGATTTTTGTTCTATGCTTATGTTCACGACGGGTGGTCTAGAACTTCTTGTAACATCTGTCAGTGCTGGTGTCGGGGTTATGCCGGCCTTGTGAGTGGGAAGGGTTCCCTCCTCCTCCGTTCTCTGGAAGAGTTCATGTTAGATTGGTATCATTTCTTTAAAAATTGGTAGAACTTACTAGTGATAAAATGTGATCAGGTGATATTTAATCTAAGACCTAAATGACAAAGAATTAGCCATGTAAAGATCTGGGAGGAGAGAGCATTTCAGGCAGAGGGATGATTGCAAAGACACTAAGTGGGATCAAGTGAACATGTTTAAAAATCTCTGCAGGGTACCGATGTTCCTTTTGTTATAAGTACTTAAACTACATATATATCCTGTAACAAATGCTTTACTCAGTTGAACAGAAAGTTAGGCTAGCTTCAATTCAACATTTATGAGTAACCTACTATTTGCACAGTACACACTAAATTTCAGTTTTCATTTGGGGGATGGGAAGAGGAAAAAGAAGTGACTAACTTGGGAGGACAGACTCCAGTTTTCATAGGAAATCTTTTAGGAATCATTATCCATATTCCCATTTCACTTATAAGGAAAATGAAGTTTAGAGTTTCACACCCCTAGTACTTCCAAAGCAATTCCTATCTACTCCATAGTTTCTCAGCAGGAGTCCCAGTTTTTGTCACAGAAAATCTGGTCATCAAAAGATGAAGGGCTTCTAGCCCTGGCCGGTTTGGCTCAGCGGTAGAGCGTCGGCCTGCGGTCCTGAGACACTCGGGTTCGGTTCCCGCTAAGGGCACGTACCTTGGTTGCAGTTTGTCCCCGGCCCTGGTTGGGTCGTGTAGGTGGCAGCCACTCGATGTGTCCCTTTCACGTCGATGTTTCTCCCCCCCCCACCCCCACCCATTCTATCTGAACAAAAAATGGAAAAATGCCCTCGGGTAAGGATAAAAATAGTAAATAAATAAAAATAAATAAAAAAAGCTGAAGGGCTTCTAAGACAGCAGACCTGCACAGGCTGTAAAACTCTGAGCGATGGAGGTGCGCTGGGCGCCTAAGAAACAGGAGAGGCGGAGTGAAGGAGAAGAGGACAGGACACAATTTTGTCACCACTGCGTTCCCCCGACCCCAGGGCTCTTGTCAAAACTGATATCGACTCTGGACTGCCTTTGATATTGTGCAGAATGTACTACCTTTGCATATCTACAGTTTACATAACATTCTCATGTAGTGATATCCACGTTAATAATAGCTGTATATTTTAGATAGTGCTTTCTATGCTACACATCATCTATGTGCTTTCCACATATTAATTCATTTAACTCTCATAACAACCCTATGGATTAGGTACCATCATTAACCCATCTTATAGATTAGAAAATGAGGCACAGAATGGTTAAGTAAGATGTTCATGGTCACACAGCAAGAAGCACATCAGGGACTCAATCCCAGGCTGGCATCAAAGTGCATGCTTTTCACCCAACAGTATGCTGCCTTTCCTCATCTTGCGCATAACCAACCAGAGTGGCTACATAAATCACACTGCTAATGCTAGATTCGGGGAATTAGGACTGACTTGAAGGCTGCAAACCTTGCCTATGCTATAGTTCAGCACAATAGCTCTGATGATCCCTGCTTCCCACTAATTAAAACCTCTTTTCTTTAATCTGTTGAAGAGAAATCCTAATCTCTATTCCTCATGTTTTCTATGTGGAAGGCCTTCCCTACAAAACATTCCTGGACTTTCTCCCTAGCCCTTGCTCACATTCCCTATCACAGAAAAATTGAGTTTATTTTATTGGTAAAATCAGGAGGAACTGGAATATCTCTCTCTCCCTCTTTCCTCCCTCTCTCCCTCTCTCTTCTTCTCCCCATCCACCCCCACCCCTCTGTCAGCTTGTCTGCAGGAGGCACACATGAATTCCAGGCTGCTCTTTGCCATGTGCCTTATGTGAGTTGGGGTAAAGGGGGTCTCTGCACTTCTTAGACTTAGGAAGTCTCTAATTCAGGAGTACAATATTTGCCCTGGCCGGTTTGGCTCAGGAGTACAATATTTGCAAGCCACTTGACTGGAAATCTAAAGCCATATGCACAAAACATCTTCTTTCATCTCTCGCAGCTGGTTCCAAACTCAGGTGTAAAGGAGGCGTCCTATTTATTGGACCCCTAAAACTCACACAGTCCATCTGGTCATCCCTCTC